GGGGGGGTGGCATCCCCTCAAATCAAGCCCTGTTTATGCCTTTCTTAGATCAGCAACTATGCAACATAACCAGATAAAGTGAGTAAACTGGTTCTAAACTTCTGGATAAAAAATTTATGATTGAACACAAAAACTAAATGAAGAGCTGTAGTGGCATTAGATTTGACCTTTAAGGCCTATCAGCATGTCCTTCTAAAAGTCGATATGAGCTGCAGCTTTAACTCAGGCTTCCTAGGGTCACTTCTTGATCCATATTTCTCCCTTGGCACACAAAATGCTGAAGAAAAGTGAAACTTGCTTTAGAGGACATCCAGATTTAAGTGGTTTGTCATCTCAGAACGGAAAAACAGGATTGACAGTGAGAACTGAAGGTTGCTGAACAACCTCAAGACAGCAATGAAAAAGACTCTTCACTGGATTCTGCATGCACAAAAGGAAAAACAGAGAGAGAGAAAAAGATTCCTCTTCGTTCTCGAGCCAAGACTTCTAGTATGTCAGCTCATGGGTGCCTCACTTACACTGATTCTTCATAAAACTATCATCAAGCCTCGTAAATAAACCCAGCCTTTTAGCCACACCCTCAGTGCAAACTCCCCCCCCCACCATTCTTTGGAAAAAAGGAGCATGGGCGGCTGAGGCCAAAACTCTCCAGATTCATTTGCTTTCCACTGAGGACATGAGCGCAGAGCCTGTTAACTAGGAGCGTCCCAGCTGGTTTCATTTAGCCTGACAGCAGAAGATCTGGCTGGCTTTCCTATCTGCCTTCAGTTCTTTCACTTTCCTGCTGCAGCCCCCCAAACTCCAGGCATGTGTGCACAAAATCTGCCGGGGTTTTAGTGTTAAAGTTTGGAGAGCCAGTTTATGATATACAATCCAGTTCTAGGTTGTCTGACAACAGCCCTGAGGCTGATGGGCCCGGCTTGAGAGGAATTCCCAAACTGGGCAGCCTTGTAAAGGAAACTAGCTGAAATAACAGCAAAAGATCAAATATTACTGAAGGTCTAATCCAGACCTAATTTGTGACACTACAAAGCTGCAGTAGCAAACATCAGGCCTCTTGTAAATGTGTTTGTCTGCACTGTCAGCTGGGGCCTACAGTACCTCAGGATAGTGAAGCTCTTACATGAACTTACAAAAGCCACAGCATGACCATTGACATGCACTATAAATGAGCGTACCCAGAGACTGCTGTATCTTTTCAGCTAGAATGTGAATCAATACAATATGGTGCAAAAGTCAGAAAACATCTTTCATTTTTTTTCATTTGCGGTCAAAACAGCTATTAAGTACAGGTCATTTATTTTTCAGGAGATATTTCTAAGGTGGTCAGTTATAAGATGATCCACTTGCATAAAAGAGGGGAAAGTCAAAGGAAAATAAGCAAAAAAACAAGAGTTTCCAAAGATGGAATTCAAAATACTATTAAAAGATATAGAGCAAGTGAGACTCCTAACACCCTTGCAAGACCTGGTAGACCAACCAACAAAACTGTCCTTTCTGTCCTTCCTTTCACTGTGGGAAGACAACTCAACACCATGGGTATGAAAGGATGTGTAGCTGTCAAGAAGCCACCACTGAGAAAATGAGACCAAAAAAGACAAAAATTTGGAAACCGAACAATGAAGCGGCTGGTGTTCTCAAAACAATGGACTGACCACCCCAGACCTCAACATCAGTGAATGTGTTTGGAATTACTTAGATCGCGAGAAGCAGAAAATGCAACCAACTTCTAAGACTGAACTTTCAAGGTGTTTATAAGAAGCATGGAAAAATAGCTCCGCAGATTTCTTTGAAAAAACGAAAACATGTCTCATAAAAAAAGAATGGAAACTAAGAGTGGACACACTAAATACTCAGAATTTTGATATTATATTTTCTGTTCTGTGTTTTTCCTGACATTAGAAAACGAATAACTTGTACTTAATGGCCGTTTTGACTGGAAATTAAATAAATGAAGGGTGGGGTCGTCTCTGACTTTAGTACAGCACTGTATGTGATGGTGCTTAAACAGAAGCTGCCATCTTCACACCACAGGAAGAAGAGAATCAGAGCCCAGAAGCTTAAGCTATACGTTCCATATGACTGATCATGGCAAAAAGTCAATAATGCTGTAACTATAAAAAAACAATTGTAACTTCTTTTGAGCTTCAGGGAACTAATTAGTCCCTGGAATCATGTAATAAAAACGCAATCGTTAAACGTGCTATTATTGTACTAAAATTAGGCGTGCATTCTAAACGACCTCTAGAGTACAGCTAGCTTCAGTCTCGTTGTGAAATCTTGCCTCCTTGAAATGCTATCATTTGATACTTAGTCTTCAGCAGAAAGTCACACTCCTGTGTAGATACAGAGAGATTTCTGTGTCTGCATAAAGTTCATCTGCATAAACACCCTCTCTCATATTCACACACTTTCATGAATGAGCCCCTAATTTCAGCCCAATTTCATAGCCCGCCTGCTGGCTGGTGGATGGTTAGTGTGGCATTGTTGTGCTGTATGGATTTTCCACAGCCCCACTGCACGATGGCCCGTGGGAGCAGAATCTGAGTGAAACTCAGCCCAGCGTTTGATTGTGTTTGACATCCATGCCCCGGTTCAATCAGCAAGTCTGCCTCTCCCCTCGGCAGATTACACAGTGCGAGTGCACCTTCTCTGCTGATTACACCTACGCTATCAGAAATATGTGCTTAACTCATTTACCAAAACCACTCACTGCCTCTGTCTTTGTAATTACTGTAGATTAGGGACTAATATCTAATTATGCCTTAATATGCTTTAATGCATTTTTAATGACAGCTCGGTGTTCAAGTCAAACCCGGGGAGTCTGCCGGGAAGCAGCGAGGAGGTATCTTGGCAATCTAGGGCTGGCGACGGAGAGAAGAATGTTTATCTGTCTGGATGAATTCTCCCTCTGATGGAAACGAACCCATACTTTAACGTCAGTTAGTCACAGGAAACATGTTGCCTGAAAGCAAATATGCGACTTTTATAAATGGAACAAAGCCATCTGTGAGAGGTTTTATCTTCGGTAAATAAATAAAAAAAACATTAATGTCACTAAACTACATACAATGTATATTAAAACGGTTGCCAGCAAAAACGGTGGCTGTTCCACTATTGTTGAAATTCTTGTAAAGAACGCTTGGTTAGATGAATCTCTTTAGACAAGAGAATTAGAAAGAAAGCATTTAATATTCAAATAAAGGCACTTGTTTGAGATTAATCCACACCAGTGACTTCCTGAAAGGGTTCCATTTGTATTTGAGTTCTTGATCAAAACAATTTCTTTTCTTCACACTGTTTTGTGATTTGAGTCCTAATCTTTTGTTTATTCTAATGAAGTGAGTTGAGCTACGGAGGGCATTACAATCACCAGAGAGAGATGCAAATTGCATTGTGTGACTAATTGGCAGGGCCTGGCGTTTATTAACTAGATTCGGTTAATTAATGTTGGATGGCCAAACTGAGTTGCTTGCATATTCTGTGCATATTTTAAGGCTAATTGGAATTCACATTACCCTGACCTTTCACGCACAATGTAATCAAGATCCTGTGAGTCACATTAGAATGATTCAGGGAAGGACATGCAACTGTTTTAACAGAGGCTGCATCTAATTCAAATGACCAGTCCAAGTCATGACAGGTAAACAAGGAGTATTTTCAAGGGAGTGAAACACAGTAGATCATAGCGGATTTAAAGGAATTTCCTGAGGAAAAAAAAACTGCCAGGGGTGGAAAAAGTAAAAGGGAGTTTCTAGGCCTGCCCCAGTTATTGACTATTTTCATTTTTAAACATTTAAATATTTTATAAGAATAAGAAAAATCTCCCTTAGTAACTAAATAGAAAAACATTCTTGTTGTTTTGATAATGATGATTACTACTGTTGTTATTTTTACTAATGTGTATGTCTGTCTGTCTGTCCTGCGATGGACTGGCGACCTGTCCAGGCTGTATCCTGCCTTCTGCCCAATGACCGCTGGGATAGGCTCCAGCACCCCCTGTGACCCAGAAGGATAAGCGGTTTAGAAAAAGTGTGTGTTATTTTTACTATTACTACAAATATTGCAATTATTTCTTCTTGTTCTTCTTCTTCTTATTATTATTATTATTGTTATAATAACAACTGCATAACATCTATTTATATATTTTGCTTTTTGACAGGCCTTGCGATGGACTGGCGACCTGTCCAGGGTGTATCCAGCCTTCCACCCAATGACAGCTGGGATAGCTCCAGCACCCCACCGCAACCCAGAAGGATAAGCGGTTTAGATGATGTATGTATGTATGTATGTATGTATGTATGCTTTTTAACAGGACTTGCCGCAACAATATAAGATGAAAAAAGATCACAACACGTAAACACAACATGTGTGATAAAAACACGTAAAAATGTTTCTCATTAAAATGCTAAATTGGGGATGCTGTCCAATCTGGCAACCCTAAACAGGTTGCTGGTTCTGACTGAACAGTGATGAGCGGTGTAGCAAAGTAAAAGAAACAGAGTCTTTTTAACCATCGTCTCAAAAATGAATTTTTTGTTCCAGAATTATAAAACAGAAAAGCCTTTTCCATTTTGTAATGTTTTAGTTATTGAATTTATTGAATATGAGTGAATATTTTTTGCAGCCCCAGAAATTGCAATCTCAAAGTTCTTTCAGAATACAGTGAGCATAATTTAGGACTAAATAAAATTTCTTACGAGTGATTGGCCCCGGAAAGAAATAAATCAGAAAATAAAAGGGTGCCCTTTTACTGACTTTGACATTGATGATCAAGTATTGATAAACAAGCACGTTATATCCTGAAGTATCGCGTTAAACAAGACCCCCACAGACCTAATAAACATTAAAAAGCAATCAACTCTAATCCAGGCGGTTGAGGCAGTGACAATTAGTGCGTGTGTGTCATTATGCATGAGTTAGTTCATTTAAGCACAGAATGTGTGTGTGACCTTGACTGGGCTCATTATGTTGCCAACTGTCATGGAGGATGTGTGTACCTGTGATATCGTGCTGTTTGAAGGAGTCGCTGTAGACTTGGTGCTGGTTGGGGCAGTGCTTCTTCAGCCACTTACACACGTCCTGTTGGGTCCACAGAGCCACCGGTTTGGACAGCTTCACCGTCCCTGGCTAGACAAAAGAGACAGACAAGAGTTCAGACTTAACAGATCAAACTTAGTTTAGACGCAATATTTCTAACTCTAAACCAGTCAAATGTCATTCTTCCACGTTTGATGTACATCTTGTCCTTGAAGCGTGAAGAGAAAGCAATGATATCTAAGGTTTAAAAACTGTTTTACCACCAGTTACATGGGAGGTAAACACTCATGTGTTTGATCTTCAAAAATGTTTTTCCCTCTGATTATAGTAATAAGTGGGTCAATTTCTAATGATTTAGTTATAATGAAGTTGGGTAGTTAGTGTTTTATAGCCATGTCTTTGGGCTTTGCTAGCTGACCCCCGCTAAAAATAAAATACCTGCTATGCCTCTGCATTATGAGTTACAGTCTAATTTAATAACTAATCTAATTTAATACTTAATCATTAATTAATTAATCATCAATCATTAATTATTAATTAATAATTTACCTACAATCTAATTTACTAATGAATGGACTTCAGGCAGGGGCTGTTCTGTGTAATCTTGACTAAAATAAAAAAAGGAAAAAAAGATTTTTAAAATGTTTGAAGATTAGGACTGTGGATAAAGCAGAAGAGCAGCTGTTTTACAACTGTGTAAATAATCTTTTGCCTAATTTTGAAAAATAAAGCCTAATAAGCCTTATGAATTGTCAATGGAAAATCAATGTCATGTATGTTTTTGGGTACTAGGGCTCTGACACTGATCAATTTTGGAACAGAACTGATAATATTAATATCAATTTTATAGAGCAGAAAACTCTGATAATATTGGTCAACATAACCATCAGAAAATAAACAGACTCCAATTGTTTGAATTACACAATGGTTTTACTGCTTGATATGATCAGTTGTCAGATATGTTCACGTAAGTTCTTAATTGTCAAATTTCCTCAACTCAAACAACTCACAAGGTCTTGGTGGTAAGGTTCCTTACTTCACATCCTCGTACAGGAAGAAGGGGATACTGCTGCATCCCTAGGAATGCGTTCAGGGACGAATATGGCATTAAGGACCAATGACAGCTGAGAGCTCATTGGCAAAATCTCAAAATGCAGTCACACACACCATCCTGAAGGCAGAGGATGAATGTCCAAGTTGATTCTTTGGGCTGCCTTTCCTGAGGGCTTACTCATCGTTCAGTCTAAGACTGCCAGCCGAGGTAAACCAATGACTCTCACGCTCTCCTAAGTGCTTCCCTTCACTGAAGGCAAAGGAGCGCGAAACAATGGCCGGATCTGTCCACTCATCCCCTCGCAAGGTCTAACCTAGCGTGCTAGCTAGTTTTCACAGGCAAGCTAATAAAGCAATGACACAGCTCAGTCAAACAGCCAGACACTGAGTTGCCAGAAACCAGTTCCTGTGTGTGTGTATGTGCATGTTCTATGTGTATGGGGGCTACTGTCCCCACTAAGAGCAACCCAGTGCTAATTAACCCAATCTGCCAGCCTCTGAGACCAAGAGCACATACTATTCATGCATGCTTTCACTCTGACAGAGCGCTTCACTGAGCCGTGATAAGGTGCAGTATCTGTGAGGTGTCATGTGCGCTGCTTTGAACAGTGGTGGTGCAGAGATCTGGAGGATGCATCCAGTAGCCACGCAGCTCTGGGAGGGAACTTTGCTGTATGAGGATTTCCAGCCAATTAGAAAGATGAGTGACAGAGCTGTGGGGCAGGAATGAGATGAAAAATCTGAGTGGAGAAAGCTTTGAAACTCTCTCTCTCTCTCTCTCTCTGTCTCTCTCTCACACTTGCTCACTGAAACACAGGCACACAAGAAAGGAGACTTTATCATTCACAAACATTAGCTGACATGGAAATGGAGAGCCAACCCAACTGTGAATTTGACTATGGAAATACAAACAGCAAGCAAACACGCATGCCAAGTCTCTTTGTCCTTGGTATAATTAGACAATGCAGGTATTTTCATGTTCCTATAGCAACAAAGCCAAGTCAAGCTAAAGTCATGAATACATAAGCAGCACAAAATCACCCCATCTGTGAAGTTTCTAGCGCTCTGTCAATACAGCACGACTTCAAAGTTCTCAAGAGAATGTGAAAATAACATAAAAAGAAAGCCAGCATGTTTATCAATAAGGATTATACAAGGAGAATGGAACAGAAAACATGTACCTTCTGACAGGTATTTTCAACCAAATCTACTTAAAAATTCATTCCAAAAAATTAAAGACATCGCCAGGCCATGTTTCAAACGGTTTCATGAACTCTCCAGTATTCAGGTGAATTCTCTCCTCTTCTCCAATGCAATGCTTTAAAATATTGATTGAGATTTTCTTTTTTTTTTTTAAGCATGTCAGTGGTTTATTTTCCAAAAGCACAGAAAGGACTCTCATCTGAAGGCATGCTTGAACTGGATTGTAGCCAAAAATACACCCCAGACACTCTTGTGAATGCAGAGCGCCACCTCGTGGCACATCATTCCGACTACCCCACAAGTCCTAGCCTGCATCTTCCTCATCTACAAATTTCCCTATCAGTCCGTCTCAAGGCCTTTTGCCTGAAGCCACTGCCCGTGATTGGGCCGCTCCATTAATTAACTGCCCATCACGGTCACATTTCCCTGCCTAAGTTTTCTCCCCCTCCTCATGAGATGTGAAGCAAAGGCTCTCCGTTAATTATTCCCTTCTATGCAGTGCTGAGAGCGTTTGAGCAGACAGCTGGAGAAAATAACGCGCTGCGCCCTGTGAATTCATAAGCGCAACGGACGCCCCGTGTTTAAATTGGATTTACTCAGCGAGGGAACAATTGAGCACATCAAAGGGCTTGAAAGTCTTAAGAACTTTAGTGTCAGGAGAGCGCCGGCTGATTAGAAACTCAGAAAGCAAGCAAAGCTCCGTCCTGATCAGCACTCTGCAGGTTGCTTACAGGCTGTAGTGCTTATGTACAGTACCAGTCAAAAGTCTGTAAACATCTGCTCATAAAGGGTCTTTCTTAATTTCTTTTTAACACTTTCCACATTTCAGAATAGTGAAGACATCAAAGCTAAGAAATAAACAAAGATGTAAGTATAAGCGACCAAAAATGTTAAAAGAAATCTTAGATTCTTCCAAGTTTATATATATATATATATATATATATATATATATATATATATATATATATATATATATATATATATATATATATAAAAGACGAAAGTATTTGGACACACCTCTTAATTACTGAATTCAGGTGTTTGATTCAGTACTATTGCCACAGGCGTATAAAATCAAGCACCTAGCCATACAGTCTGCCCCTGTTGCAAGCCAGTTTGCGAAAATCAGTTTTTGAAAAGCAGAGGCATTTATGAACCACAGCCACTCAGACACGAAGTGGCAGATCACATAAAGTTACAGAGCGGGGTCGTCGAGTGCTGAGACGCTTAGTGCATAAAAGTGTGATTCTCTCGTACCAGACAAACAGCACCCTCCTTATAGGTATGACGTTGTTTGTACGGTGCGAGAGAATCACAGTGCACTTAATACCACCGAGGTCCCTCTTTCACGCAGTGAGCATCAGATATATTTCACATATGTCCGACACAATTTTTGATTTTGAGGTATTTAAAAAAAATGTATAAATATCTTGATTCTATAGAGCTATAATTTTAGAATATACAGATTGATTAGGTTTTATTAAACACCTGCAACACCACCATAAACAAAATAAACCCCAAAATTCCTAACCCCTACAATTTATAAGGTCTTCAGAAAAACAGCCAGTAGGGCTGGGCGAAAATGATAACAATAATCATTGTGATATAACTTTCCTTGATATAAATATAAGGATGGTTGATATACTTTCAATATAATAGACCATTCCCATTACGTCCGTGTTCTAGCGACAGTCTTGGTGGCGTTTCCCACTGCAAGAGAAGTGACGCTACTCTGTTGTCGCCACAAGAGGGCGCACTTCCAAGTTTTTCAACATGAGGGTTGCCGAATATACTTAGATGTAAACGTCTGAAACATGGGGTTTCCCTGTTTGAGTGAGTGATCGGCGATCCGTTCTGTGACAAATGTGAGTGACAAGATAAGTGGCATTTAACTGTACTGGCTCAGAGCGAACTCACTTCTATCCTAATATCCTAACTAGCTTTAGTAGCCTCAAATCATGCTCTACACAACTACAGTGCTGTTTTACAGCGCTCAGACAGTCATATTTTAGTATTAGTGCATTCCTAAGCAGCAAACGTGAAACAAAGAAGTGGGTTCATGTCAGTTACAGCACTGATTTAAACAAAAGTAAACTGAAGATGCTGTATATGTTGGCATGGGAGAGTGGGAGAACGCTAGTTTCCCAGGCTAGCTGTTTACAGCAGCTGGCTAACTTGAAGCAGCGCTCTGTCACTCGCGCAGCATGGCCGCACTGATGTTACTGTAGTGGACAACAGTGATGAAACAGGACAAAAGAGACAGACCTTGGTAGCAAAAACTGTAGTGTGATTCTCTCGCACTAGACAAACAGCATCCTCCTTTTAGGTATGATGTTGTTCATCTGGTGCGAGAGAATCACAAGGTCCATCCAGATGTCTGCTAGCTGGTGTTTAAATACAGTGATGTGCTCTGACATGGATGTGGTAGGAGTGATAGGAGTAAGGCGGTGTGATCCGTCACTGACATACTGAGCCAGCTAATGTTTACTGCTCGTACTAAGCTGACGTTGAGTTTAGCAGCAGGTAGCCTTACACTTGTCATCACACAGATAAAAATAATCTGTTTCCTTTTTAAATTATAAATATTACAAAAATCGTGGCCGTGCTGTGGGTGTAAGAGTGCTGCTTTGACCAGCTGGTAGAAACAGCTAGCCTGGGAAACTTTCTCTCACTATCTTATGACAGAATTTGTGAAATGTTCCTCTGTGTGGCGAGTGTTTGTCATGTTCTGACCATAACAAATAGTTTGAAACCACAATTAACCATCTAGTTTCTTCAACAACAAAGCAAAAACCAGCCTTTTAAACTTTAAATAATGATTTGACACTTGTCGTGACAATTATTGATATCGACTGATATGAAAATATTTAACGTATTTAACATTTTTGGCTATATCGCCCAGCCCTAACAGCCAGTCATTTGAGCGTGGGTGTGTCCATATCATCCTCCAACTCCAACCACTCCTGCCCACTTTCTTTCGACAGGCTGCACTGTGGTTTCCACAAAAGACGATGCAAATGAGAGGCACTCAGAAGAGACGAGGGCAGTACCGGCGATACAGCTTTACATTTCCGTATACTGTTTCAAATATATATATTTTTAAGTATTAAGATTGTTGAACCCTTAGTATCAAAACATACAGTTGTATGCAAAACCTTAAACTTTACTACGTTCTGCTGATTGTCTAAGTGAAAATATGTTTACGCATTCTCTGCAAACTTAAATTTGGCATTTTTTAGCATATTTTAATGCATAATAAGCTTTTTGGTGCCATAAATTTTGCACAGGCCACATTTTTGTTTTTTTCCCCAATATGTTAATGTCAACAAATAAACAGTAATTGTGCATTTAAATGTGCAGCTCTCTGTGGTCTCAGAGGATGTGTTACCTTTTTTTCAGAAAATCAACAACAGCAAAAAAACTTTTGTGTGTGACTGTATTGCTGATATCCCTGTTGGTCTCTTCCAAGGGTCTTGTACTTCCTATTTTTCATGGAAACCAACATCAGTGAACAAAACTAGGCATTCTGGGTGCATCTTATAAAGAAGTCAGAAGGGAGGGGATGGAGCTTGTTTTAACTTGAAAAAGTTCGGGCTGCCTTCAAATTATGAGTTAACAGAACAAGAATCTGTGATTTATGCCCTGTCAGCTTATTATTTAAAGTTCCAATAATTCTACATTTTAAAGTAGCCTGGACACTAACTTTTTAAAGTCAAAACCCAAATATTTCATACACCCACTCTCAAATGACTGGGCTTTTTTCCTGAAGTCACTTATAGAAGTTGTAATTGGATTTGACTGTTATAGGGCTGGCAGGCACTGGAAAAGTTCTATTTGAGAACTCCTTTACAAACTACAAATAAAATCCTGACTCAAATCCTCAGCTCTAACAAGATCTTATGAGATAAGTATTTTCCAGAAGGACGTTACTTTGCAGTCTTTTGTAGACTGTATATATATATATATATATATAATATATATATATATATATAATATATATATATATCATATATATACATATATATACACACACACACACACACACACACACACACACACACACACACTATATATATATATATATATAGACACACACATACATATATTCTAATACTGGAGGAGCCTACATGCTGAGGTGGAAAGGCATAAATATTGTCCTGGTGCTGTCTGGCCAACACTGCAAGGCCTTTAATCCTCTGCTGATCCACATCTACTGATCAGCTTCTGCATAAACGTTCATCTAGAGGGCTGTTTCTCATTAGGGTTTGAAGAAATACAGAACGTTCCGTTACAGCTGAAAGTATCCAGTAAAGAAACACACCTGCACAGTTCTTCGAGTTCTTATTGTTTTTTCTTCTTTGATTTAAAACAGAATGGCTTATGGGGAGATGTGCCAATGATTTATCATAGCGTCAAGCCATCGCTATATTTGTATCTATTTTAAACTAAGAGAGTACTCCAAGTTCATGTAAAGCTCATTTGCTATTAGACTGAGGACAGGAATTCACAGGACCCATTTGTTATCGAGACCAAAAAAAGAAAATATGCCCCACAGAAGCATGGCTCAGTAATACATCACAAATGATTAGTCCACAGATTATGCTTAGCTTCACACAGAGAAAATGCCACACTCTTTCTAGAGTTCTTTCTGTAGTGCTGCGCATAATGAATTCCAATGACATCGTTTTTTATAAATAGTGGATTAGTTTTTTTCTGAAGTTGATTATGAAGAATGGACTGACCTAAAATGCCTAAGATTCACAAACACAAAGATTCACAAACACAAAGCTATCATTTATTTACAAATAAACAAATGAGTGAGCCAGCTTTACCAAGACTAATTCAGGACTAATCCTGGCTCATACTACACTGTTAAAGGCCATTTTCAGGATTCACCCTTAGAAGACTTGCAAGATTTAATGTTATTGTTGTGTTACACTATTTGATATAATTAAGCATTTACAATTTTTTTGCTTAGTAATTAATGACAGTTTGTTACATGGTGCACTGCCCTTACATTCAGTTAACAATAAGACTACCCTAATAAAGTGTTTGTGAATGGTTACAAATTAGTTTATTAATCATTATTAATCAGGGCACAAACAATAAGTAATTGTCACACAAATAAAAGGCCAATAGTGACTTGTTGCTTGTCAAACAGTGAGGCTACATTCATCCATCTTGTTAAACCTCAGATCTTACAGGTTACTTATCTTATTTGTCTTCTCCACCAGTCAGCATTATACCTTATATCAGCATCGTCAGTTATCCATATTCATCAGATACAACAGCTTACTGCTGCTGTTTTTCTTTGTGTTATAACTGCTTATTAATGATTTTAAAGGTGTTTATGACCTAGTTAATCACCATTAATAAACTAATTTTAAACCATTCAAAAACATGGCAAAAAGTACTTTACATATAATAGCGTTTCATCAAATTCAAATCATAATGAAGTATCTCTTCTTCAGCATACAAATACAAATCCTGTACTGATTTAACATACAGAATGAGCACAAAATCTCTCCCCTTGTTTTAGTGAGCTACGAGTGAAAAATGATCAACGTCAAATTACACCAAGCTTTTGTTATGACTGTTGATAAGTGCCTCTAACAAGGGTTAATCTGTGCATTATTATTTACTATTTACTGTTTTAAGATACTGTATCTTTATAAAGTGTCACATATTACGTTGGAGGCATGGTGACAGACTTACCCTGGACAGCTCTGACTCGGAGACTGAGCGCTGAGGTGGGGATCGGCGCTGGAAGCCCGGACTCTGGTCGTGAAACCCTGGGCTGTCGTCATCCAGTCCTGGGCCGTGGTCAATAGGCTCTTCCTCCAGGTTTGAAGTCACATCCTCTGTGCACACCTGGTGATCGATCCCATTCTGACTCAGGTTGCAGTGGACAGCTGGGGAGAAAAAGAGACAACTGCCAATTATTCATTTTTATAACACATTTAAAGGTAACACTGATGTACTAGGCTTAGTATCAAAACAAAAAGATGTAAAGTCTGACTGCAGTAATAATTCAGAGAATTTGCACCTACAGCTTTAGGAAAACGAGAGCTGGTATGATTTTGACATGATACAGACTCTAGAGAATTTTAGAATGAGGTGCCAATTACAAGCTGTGCCAATGAAAATTAAAACGTGCGTCAGTAACATTACTCTTAGCGCAAACCTATATCACCACATCATCACTTCACCGTCTGCAGCCACATGGTGGCAGCACACACCCTGTATGTGATCCACACACAGCCTAGGAAGGTGTGAAGGTTATGAACATCAATCTCTTTTTACAATGTAGAAAACAGTGCATAAATAAAGTGTCACATTAAAGACTAAAGCTCAGCAGTCATCTGCACCCTTATGTTTCTGGTTGCTTCTACACATCCCAATTTAAAAAAGGATGACCTACAGGCCCACAAAAGGTCAAAATGAATCAGTCATATGCAAAAGTTTGGGTGCTCCTGGTCAAATGACATTTTGTTGATTTTCTAAGTGAAAATATGCTAACGCATCCTCTACAAAGAACACACTTCTGCACCTATCAATGCACAATTACTGTTTATTTGCCCAATTTAACATTTGCTGAATTGCAAAAAAACAGAAAATGTGGCCTGTGCAAAAGTTGAGGCACATTTTATATGTTATTTTTTCTAAAAATTGTGAATTAAATTGTGTATTAAAAATCGAAGGAAACGCAGCATTTAAGTTTGTTCCCTGTAGAGCAGTCGTCACCAACCCTGATCCTGGAGATCTACCTACCTCCAGCGCTAATCGTCCTCACCCCATCCGTCTAATAATTGCTCTCAGAAGTCCTTGATTAGCTCCAACCCAAATCTAGGTGTGCTAGATGTGGGTTGAAGGTGATACCCACAGGAAGGCAAATCTTCAGGAGGAGGACTGGTGACTACTGCTGCAGAGTATGCGTTAAATATATGAGTGGATCTCCAAAATGGTAACTTTAAAAAACATCATTAACATTTATGTATGTATTAAAATTAAGTTAATGTAACAACATTTTTTCCAAGTCATTTTGGAATATTTCTACTGGTCCATTCATCATGAAATTTGACCACAATGCAAAGGATAACTGGAGTTTCCAGTTATGCAAAAAAGTAAAAAACAACAAAAATGGAAAAAAGGTTGTTGTGCAACAATAACAATATTTATATGTACATACATATAAATACACATACATTGCTTTGTTACATATATAAATCACTGTGTATGTATGATTTAATGCCCAAATGATACTGCAAGCATTATTATAAATAGAAAGACAAACCTAAAAATTATCAAACATCCCTATCTACATTTTAATGTTTGTCATCAACCTCAGATTAACTCATATTCATGCTTATTTCATGCATCTGTTGAAGATTTCATTTCGCTGTCTATGGCACTGACCAGAGACCTTTTGTGCAGCACAGTTATTGATGCCACAGAGAGGGAATTATGACAGTTAATTAACCGACTGACAGATAGTTTGATCGACTGAATGACTGAATAACTAACAACACATGAACTGCATGTTAATTGAACCCCTCCTTTACATAAAAAGAAAACAAACAAACAAAAAGTCTTTAAAAAGATTTAAAGGATGAACTAGAAAAGCAGTCACAGGGACACTGTGATAGAGTTTAAGGGTTTGGGAGCCAAAGCACTGAAGAAGGACAGTGCCTGATGATCTAATGGTATGGGGGATTGTGAGGATGAAAGACTTCAGAAAAGTACGCAGGTATGAGACTAAGAGGGTCTTTACATGCTAGAATGAGATTACTTAAGTTCCTATAGAACAGACATCTGCAGATCACTAGGTTAGTGTGAGAACTCTGGCTGCTGAATCATGGCGGCTGAGAGCGACTTCTCAGTGTTACACTAGATGGCACCAGATAGCAATATCAGAGTTAGGCATGCATAATCACACTGAGACAGGATTTACTGTTATATTTTTAAATGCCACATACAGCCTGTGCCTGTCAGGGTGACCCATAATTGATTAAAATGGATCATGTGCCATACAGGCCTTTAACATTTCTAATGCAATGATGCTGAAACAGCTTGACCACAAAACTCTCAAGAAAGCCTTAACCATAAATTCAAGCCAGACACAGAGTCCAGTTTAGCCTGGATTTCTTTATGAATCACAAGCACGCTGTTCTCTGTGCCACTCAAACCAGCCAACTGAAGAGCCTAATCCGTACACGGCACTTCTGAAGATTACTCTTCAGCCACGTCTGTGACAAGCTTCGACTGCAGAGCGTCAGAGAGGAGAAGATGACACTTGCATAAAGCTGCTGGTCATGTCACTTTGACAGAATCGAGGCCATGCAGCACTCAGAGCTTGTTCTGCCAGCGATTACAAGAATCCAACACGGAATTAACAGCCAAGAATAAATATCAAACACTTGCTCAAGCAGGAGAGAAGGAGGGAGAGAGGGGGAGAGAGAGAGAGAGAGAGAGACAGAAAGAGAGAGAAAGAGAGAAAGAGACAAAGGGAGAGACACAGAAAGAGAGAGAAAAAGGGGAGAGAGAGACAAAAAGGAGACAGATACAGAGAAGAAAGACACATACACAGAGAAAAGATAGAGGGACAGAAAGAAAGAAAGAAAGAAAGAAAGAAAGAAAGAAAGAAAAAAAGAAGCAAGAAGAGGAGAAAAGAGAAGAAAGAAAGAAGGAGACGTGAAAAAAAAACAAAAAGAGGAAATGGAGAAAGAGGGAACGAAGAGAGGAGAGAGAAAAAGAAAGAGTAAGACTCATACAGAGACGTACAGCAAAAAAGAGAGAAACAGAGGTTAGAGGGAGAAAAGAGACTCATACAGAGAAAAGACAGAAAAAAAGAGAGAGAGATAGAGAAAGAGGGAGAGAGTGAAAGAAAGAAAAGCAAAGTGAGGAGAGAACAAAGAAAAAAAGGAAAGTAAGAAAGAGGAGAGAGACTCACATACAGGGAGAGACAGAGACAAAGAGAGAGGGAGAGAGAGGAAGAGAAAGAGAGAAACAAAGAGAGGACAGAGACTCATACAGAGAGACAGAGACAAAGAGAGAGGGAGAGAGAGGAAGAGAAAGAGAGAAACAAAGAGAGGACAGAGACTCATACAGAGAGACAGAGACAAATACAGAGGGACAAAGAGGAGAAACAGAGAGAGAAGAGAGAGAGTGAAAGAAAGAAAGAAAGAAAGAAAGAAAGAAGTGAGAGACAGAGAGAATGTACTCCTTAAATTTTCATGCTTATCCTGTTGCTTTTTTGTTGCATATTTTACTTACACATATTATCACATCTAGAAAAGAGAAAAACAAAGTAAGGGAAAGAGACAGAGGCAGGGAGAGACAGAGAGGAGAAAGAGAATTAGAGCGATAGAGAGAGACAGAGAAGAAAGAGAGTGAGTGAGAGTAGGAGAGCGAAAAGAAAAAGAGAGAAACAAAGAGAGAAAGTGAGGGGGTGCTGTGGTGAACAGTTTGCTTGTGATGAACATGTCTCGTGACGTGTGTCCACAGCCTGACTGAGACGCTGAGTTTTCTTTAAACATTGAAACTCTACGTTGTGACATCACATGTCTGACGGCCCACTCTGTACAACGAATGCAAATAACTGCTGTCAGCAGTGCAAGACTCCAGCTTTCTTGATGTTCTCGTGTATAATTCATCAGTCAGACACTAAAATGATCAAATAACTCTGTAAAAGCGCTCCTGCTGGAAGACGTGCGTCTCTCACTGACGTTCTGCCTCAGTGTTGCCCACCTCTCATCCTCAAAGCAACCAAGAGCATTATGTAAGATGGCCAGTGAAAGTAAGCAGAAATGACCGCTGTGTGCCAGTGGCTCTGGGACAGCAGCTCCATCAGAACAAATCGCCCGAGTCGCATTTGCCTCGTCCTGTTGCTATGAATGCTGGGAATATTCCCTGGCCTTCATATATCTGCTCCACACTAGCGAGAGCGAGCGGCTCCACAGAGAGAAAGCCTTTAAACAAAGGCAACTTAGCATGCACGGCACAAAGCGCTTATCTTCTCTCTGTCCCTCACTGCTCCCTCCCTCCCTCCCTCCCTCTCCCTCCCTCCCCTCTCCCTCCCTCTCCCTCCCTCCCTCCCTCTCTCCCTCCCTCTCTCCCTCCTCCCTCCCTCCCTCTCTCCCTCCCTCCCTCTCTCCCTCCCTCTCCCTCCCCCTCCCTCTCTCCCTCCCTCTCTCCCTCCCTCCCTCCCTCTCTCCCTCCCTCTCTCCCTCCCTCCCTCCCTCCCTCTCTCCTCCCTCTCCTCCCTCTCTCCCTCCCTCTCTCCCTCCCTCTCTCCCTCCCTCTCTCTCTCCCTCTCTCCCTCCCTCTCTCCCTCCCTCTCTCCCTCCCTCTCCCCTCTCTCCCTCCCTCTCTCCCTCTCTCTCAAGCAGAAAAGCTCACCCTCCTCCTAATGTTCACTCACTCTACAGAAGAATAAATTATTCATCTAGCTGAGTATGGCTGAGCAATACTGAGAAAAGAAAGGTGGTGGAGAGAGGGGAGAGAGAGCGAGAGAGAGAGCAAAACAGGAAAAGGATACAGGGACAGAAAGAAAAAAAGAGATAGAGAAAAAAAGAGTGATGAGATTTAGATGTAAGTTCTTGTCATTTTAATGATGCAGATTAAATGTAGTCTAAATATAATCATGCTAATAAAGCTTAGAAAGATAAAGAGTGATATAAACACAGAAAGAGAGACTTTTAAACCCCATTATTGATCAGATAAGATTTTACATGTTAGAGTAAAGAAAAAAGCGCATAATAATGAGGATCCACAAAATTCACCAGTGAAATGCTATCAGCCCTGTATCACTAACAGATGCAACACTTTGACCAGCACACCACTCAAAACCAGAAATATTATGAGTGCTTTGATAAAAAAACTAATTCAACTCTATCGTGTGATTCCACTAAGG